GCAAACCTAATACATCTATTCATTTTTTGAATTATTAAAATAATAATGTACTAATATAAGTGCGTTCGATTAACTTTTATACTTGACTTTATTTTTACTAGATCTTATTCAATGTTAAAAATAAGAGTTTATTACAAAAAATTCAAATGTTTAATAAATATTGATCTTAATTTTATTTTAATATTATAACTAACATAATAATGCAGTTATCTAAGATAAATAAAAAATTATTACATTACTTATTCAAACTCTGAAATAGAAAATTTTAAGTGATTAATTAACCGCTACTCAAGTCTTTTTTTATTATTTGGATACATTAAAAAATTTTAATTTACACGTGCTAATAAGTCAATTTTTAACACGTGGATTAATAATATTGTATTAAGAGGAAATTTCGAAAATGAATCTATAGTAAATAAATAATAATTAAGACGAAAAGCTTTAATATGATATATAAAAAAAATATCAAGACATCCAAACCTCCAAATCCATCCAACTTTGGTTAATATATTTATCAAAAATAAAAATATAAAGTATTTCTAACTTTATTTTAAACATTTTAGTATGCATAAAAACCCATTCACAAAATATTTGAGATTAGTTTTATCTCACGATTCTCTTTCTCTTTTAACCAAATTTTATTTTTAATTATTAAAATTATTTATTTAAATATTTTTAGAGATAAAAACAATCAAATTAAATAAAATGAAAAAAAATTACTTATAAAAATTAGATAGACAATTATATAATCAATTAAATTTTTCATTACATTTATAATTATTTAATTATATTTATAGCTTTAAAAAAACAATAACTACAAAGTAAAAAATAATTAATTTTAGAATATATTTTTTTTCGTAGGTGCTTGTTGTAGCATCTGTAGTTTTACTTGCATACTCAATTCAAGGTTTACCAGTAAATGATGATGCTAATCTAATGACAGAACAGACATTTAACACAACCACACCAGCTCCTGGAGGCATTAAAGGGTGGATTAAAGGAATTAAAAACAAAATTCATGAACATAGTAAAAATTGCCGTCACGGGGGTGTTATTGGATGGTTTAAAAATAAATTAGGTATTAAAGGTACAACAGCCATACCACCATATGATTCATCCACAGTGTATAATAACCAACCAGGCTATCAACCAGGAACAGGTTTGCAACCTAATTCAAATCAACCAGAATCAGGTTTTCAACCTGAAATGGGCTATCTACCTAATTCTAACCAACCTGAAACAGGTTATCTACCTAATTCTAACCAACCTGACACAGGTTATCTACCTAATTCTAACCAGCCTGACACAGGTTATCTACCTGATTCCAATCAACCGGATTCAGGAATTTATCAACCAGACATAAATAACCCAACTCAATTTGAAAACGGAAATAGTTCACCAGATGTCATTAATAATGAAAACACAGACGACTTTGATTTAGAAAGACCAGTGAGCGAAAACGTAAATGAATTTCCAGACTATAACCCCTCAACGCCATCTCCAAATTTGGGTAATGGCGGAGAAGGTATAATAGAAGAGAGATTCGGCAAAATTAAATGAACTTGAACCAAAGAAAATTATTTTTTTAAAAAGTGATAACTAAAGTTCCATATTTGTTTATTTTTTATTGACTTGTAATTATTGACCTATGATGTATACAATATTTCTATTGATTGTGTACTAGNTTAATAGTAATTTTTAAATTATCGTTTCTTTAGATATTAACGTTTATTATAAAATTAAATTTTATTTATAAGTCTTTTACTCGTGCTTTACTGATTATTTTAACTGATATTTATTTAGCTATGTTATGGTTTCCTCATGCTGCATAATAATAAATTTACTTATTTTATTTTTTTGCTATCTTTTATAATAACCATTAAAATTATAATTACTATCATATCATATGAATAATTTTATTGGTATATAAAATACTATACATTTATAAATCTATGGCAAATGATTTAAAAATTCATTGAGCATTCCAACGTAGAATATTAGAAAATTAATCGACTTACATTTTGACTTAATTGACGTTATAGAACATTATATTGAAATGATATATAATTGTTTAATGGTTAATGATTTCAACTACATGGGGTCGTCCACCTTTATCCTAAACTTCCACTTAACACGATCTCCCACATCATCTACGCTCACATAAGCTATCCTCATATCGCATTTAATACATTCCTTCATCTCTTTTTTGGTCTTCTTCTACCTCTCCTTCCTTCAACATTCATTTCTATAACTATTCTTACAGCTTCCGATTCATCTCTCCTCGTAACCATCGAAGTCTATTTTCTCTCATTTTAAAAATAATTAATTTTCAAAATTAAAACCAGACCTTTTTGAAATTATTAGTTTTTTATTTATTAAAGTCATATTTTTAAGTCTAATTAAAGTGTATTTCCAAACATGATTTTCGTTATTTTAGTAACTAAGGAATAATTTTTAAATTCAATTGATAACAGTTTTAATATTATAAAATTTCATTAAAAAGAAAATTATTTAATTTTATATTAGTATAATATAATGTAATTTATCATAAAAATAACAAAATTTGGAATAAGATCAATGAGTAACAATTTCCATATTAATGTTATAATGTCATGTGTTTTACTAAAAGCTGCTTGATATGTTATACAATTTAAAATGTAATAAATATACATGATATTATAAATTGAGTTTATATAGTTATTTCAAACTTTAAGGCTCTTTTGTGAAAACGAGATTATACAAGAAACTTTGAAATTTTAGGTAAGTTAGGTTTAATAGTTGACACTATTAATTACACGCGTTAGTTAACGAGATATTCTAATAAATTGCTTTTTATTGCAAAAAGAAGAATACTGCCCCTAAATTATAGTGACTACAAAAATTTACTAAAAATTAAATATTACTATTTCAATATGTTTCTTGGCTACTATTTATTTTTCTTATTTTATGCTATAAAATAATTTTATTTGGACTTAATTATATATAATTATATATATTATTATAATAATTATGTAAAATATAAATTCCTAATATATTTAAATGAAACTAAAAAATGTGTTACTATATAAAAGGTTAAATTGTATAATTCAAAATTCATTTGTATTTCTAAGAATTAAAATAATGGAATCCTACTCTTTAATTCATCTGAAAGACATTCTCTGAAAAACATTTTTAGTAAACTAATCGTGTCTATCAATTAAATGTTGAAAAATAAAAAAAGAAATTAATTTCTAGTATAAATACTATGTAAGTTTATCAAATAGTTACTAGAAATAAAAAAAAAATTGGAAATAATAAATTCGGTAGTTCAAACACAAATTACTGTTTATGTCTTTTAGTCTCGGTTGAAAAAAATAAACAATAATCGCAAAATAATAATTTTTATTTATATAATCTATTGGAAAAAATTAATTTGTTTCTTATTACAATCAATTTTTTTAATGATATTGGGGAAAGTTATTATGTTTTCCAAAAAGGGCTGGTCTGGCCTAATGAGTAGAAATGCACGTTTCGGAAACGAGGTCCAAGGTTTGATCCTCAGGGTTCCAACTATATTTTTCTTAAGATTTTCTATTTGTGGTGTCTGGTATTTGATACAAGCCAGGTATAATAACTGTCCTGTACATCATAGGCTAAGCCAAGAACAATCTTTGACTTCCTAACATCTGAAAGAGGGCCATCGCCTTCTAAAGCATTTTGAGTACGAGAAATAAGATGTAAAAAGTGAGCATTATGCTTTTCAGAGAAATTATTTAATGTAACAGATATAATTATAACAAAAAATACTGAAAAAAATGTTATGCGAGATATATTTTTTTTATATGAAATATTTTCGATAAATCCAAGGTATTTATAATTTTTAAAATTAGAAAAATATTGTAAACAAGTCTATTTTAAGATCTCGTGATAGATCTTTGTAATGTATGGAATGACGTAAAATTCAGATACGCTCTACATATTATTAATGCATTTAAACAATTAAATTAAAAGTTACACTTGTTGATGATTCTTTACAATACTTGTCAAATAAGTTTCATTATTAATTATTAATGGATTAATTTATGCTTTATTCAATAACAATTCATAATTTGTTAAGATGTTCGATTATGTTATATTTGTGTACTTTGAATCTGACATATCAGGCATTGATTATTTGTTACTTTGGTTATAATAGTTGATCTTGAAGTATTTATTATTATTATGAACTTGAAATGAACTGATCGCTTTATATTTATGAAGTGATAAATTTCACTATCTATAATTTAACAAAAATTAAAGGTCAGCATTAAGCAAGAATTTGTTGATTTTAGATAGTTAAAATAACTATAAAAAATTTTAGTTTGTAATTTTAAATAATTATTACATTTACGTTTAAAGTATTATCTAAAAAACAAATCATTAGTAATATATAATTAAAAATTAAATTAAATTTACAATGATTAAAAATAGGAAATCTTTGTCATTGACCATATTTTTTGGGTTATTTTATTATGAAAATATGTTTTAGAAGCACTTTATATTCATTTATATCGAGTGGTATTTTGACACAAGAATATTTAATTTTATATATATTTATTTATTTTACACACTAACTTCAAACTTCTTTAAATTTAAAAAGACGGTTTTCATCACATCCTTCTATAACTAATTGATATTAGATATAGAATTCCAAGCATAAACTTTAAGTTTTCGTATTAAAGTAAAATTCTATTAAAAAATTTATATTATTTGCATATATTAAACATGTATTAGTAAAAAAAAAAATGCAAAGTTTGGTTAAATCTAATACAAAACACAGCATATCATCATACATAGGTATTTCATTAGACCAAACAGTAAGTAATGAAAATAAAAGCATAGGAAATGGTGGATAGGATAATAAAGGTGATATTATTTTTGATATTAACTAAAAAAGTTTTTTTAATAAAAAATGTCTATCAACTTATAAGGTATATCCTTTAGGGATTATTAAATATGCCGTTAAAGCAAAACGTACCACTTTAAAGTTATTAATTAATTTTTAATCGGACAATGAGTTAAATATTTTATATTATATACATATTTTAATAAAATAAGAGAATTTGATTTTTTTTTTCATATTTACAAACGAATTGTTTTTTAAAAATTTTATATATAATTTGCCAAATATTATAAAATATAATAATGCAATAAGCATTAAAGATTCCATATCATACTTAACAGTTTTTTTATAACTAGAAGTGTTTAGTTATTAAAATAACTAGTAGTTTTTTTAAATAAATTAAAGAAAAAAACTGACGCTCAATAATATAAGCATGTTAGTCATGTTTTATACCTTGTGAAGTCAAGTTAGATTTAATAAAAATCAAGTTAAAAATTACCAGTTACTTTAAACAATAATAATAACTTTTTTATCATTAGTTAAGTTAGCTAGTATAAATTTTTGTTGTCTATATAAAAAGTAATTTGTTTTTTATACTGATTCCAACTATCTATTATAAATTTACTATGTAGTTAAATATCAAGTTAAATGTCTAACTAACTGAACTTCTAACTTCTTAATGCGTTAGTGTCAGACCTTTCTTTATAGTAACCGTTAGATAAATAACACAAAGTGAATAATGAGATGACAAAATAACTGTTGCAAAGACAAGTGTTCAATCAATCATCATTTTTCTTTTTCATTCACTAAGAAAAAATATAAAAATTCTTTTGATTAACTCCGACACAGTTATTTTTAAATATTCTTATAAGAATATAATTTATTAAATAATAATTTAATTTCCCAACTCATTAATATTCTATTTCATGCATAAATTAATCATTTGATATAAGAAAAATTTTTAAAAATTCATTATAAAAAAATAATAATGTTAATAGACACAAGATAAATATAAATATAATAAAGATTTTCTTTAAGATAAGTTACTAAATCTAATTTAATTACTGACAACGCCGAGGCTTTACTTCCATTTTCAATTTTAATAAAAAAGCATCTTAAATTTTAATTTTTTACAATATCTTTAACTTAAATAATTTTTTTTGGGTGACAAAATAATAATTTTCAAAAATATGATTTTAAAATAAAAACAAACTGACTGAACATACAACTGAAAACTATTGTTATTACTTATTTTATGGTGTCTTTAGTATTTTTTTAGAAAAATATAAATAAAAACTAGGATTATTTTTTTGAAATGGTTAAAAAGAATTTAATGTGAAAAAGACATGATTAATAGTAGGTATCAAATTCTGAATATTATATATTATTCTTGAAATTTTTTTGTGGAGTAATAACATCCCGAAAATGATTTTGTTAAATGAGAGACAAAAAAAGACAAGTAATTCAGAAAAAATATGTATTTTCAAAACCTTGTAAGGACTGATAATACAGAAACCAAGTGACTTACAGGACAAGGACAAATTATATTTGTTAAGAGGGTTGATGTCCCATGGCTGACAATATATATGTATCTAGCGAATAAGATTATAATAATAAATGTGTACTTATACATGAGAACTTTTAACTTTTTTAACAATAATTTTTCATTTTTCATTTAGTTGTAGGACATTTTTTTTTGTATATTATAGTTTATACAATGACTAAGTTGTTTACATAAGAAATGACTTATTTTCGCTTGAGTTACATTACACATTTAAAATAAATGTTACAAAAGACTACTTTCAAAAATGTAATGATACATTTAAATAGCGTCATTCTAAATTTCCCAGCTTAAAAAATATTTTTATATCTTATTATACACAATAACTTTGTACATTTTTTGGTGGGATTAGCCCCCAAAGCCTTCCCCAAACTCCACATAGGTTTTATAAAAACATAGAACATTAGGTTAAGTGAAATTTAAGACTTTAGCAGTTTAAAATATATGGGAAAATGATAAGTTTATTGATAATTATTTAAAGCTCTATTTCTAAGTTATAGAATTCTGTGAATACTTTACAAAAACTGATGTGTCACTTTGGAAAAATAAATTTAAAATTTCATTAGAATCTTATAGAAATTAATATTTTTGGAAAAAAAATATTCCCAAAAATATACTTTTTAAAAAAAGTCTGTTGATTGACAATAGTTATATAAAAATTTATATTGATACGACGTCTTAATAGATATTATGGATGTACTTATAGTTGTTGGTTTCATGTTATTACCATAAATTGGATATCACTTATTGTTTATAAAAATTATTTGATAACATATTTGTTATAGTGGTGTACCATATGTATTTAATTTGTATTTTATATTTAACTTTACTTCACTGATATATAATAAAATAATCTTTGAAACTGCTTTTATTAACAAGAATAAAATTATTGTGTTGATATCTCCAATAATTTGACATGCTCTTTCCCGTCTTTGGGAAAAATTTCTGGCACTATGCCTGTTTGTGACATATCACATTATATAACTAAACGAATTAAATTAATAGTACGTATTTTATTATTCATAAATAAATGATACACTGAAACTTTATTATTGCACAAAAATCTAAAGTCTTATTTCTCAAAAGTTTTTAAATTTAATATATAAAAATAAGATTTTTTATTACACTTATGAATTTATAAAACAAAAAATCACAACATAGAAGTGACAAAATGAAACTTAATTTCTACTTTGATCTATATTAAATTTAAAAAAGGTCATTTAAATAAAAAACAATTGAAAAATATAAGTTATAGAATTTAAAAAAGTACAACCTGTATGTAAATACACACTTTTTAGTTTCTAACAAAAAAAAAATCTTGTCATATTAATGAAATAAAAAAAATTCATAATATATCAAACTTACGTGTGCCATCAAAACGAGTTGCGATTGTGTCCAGAAATGTATTCTGAGGGGCCAATAATCCTTTTCTGGCAGGCATTTGTTTATTCTAAAAAAAAAATATATATTTCTATATAAAACTACATATTAATTTATACGTTTCAGTATACAATTGTTGCATGAAAAATGATTGAATTTTAGTAAATTGTTTTTTAAACATAAAAGTTAAATAAAATATATTAGAACTTATAATTAAATAAATAGAAATTTAATAGCTCACAATAATAATTTAAATTAGTAAGTATAAGTCAAGATTCAATTTTTATAAGATATAACTTGAAACTATTCACGTATAATAAGCTTATATATATATAAGCTTATTATATTTGTAATATAATGGTTATATTGAAACATGTGCAATGTTTCAACAGAAGTAAAATATTAAAAATTTTTAAAAAATGTATTACATTAAAACTCAAAAACTCCTAAAATTTGAAGCATTTGATATATAATTTAATTTAACAAATATTTGTTTTTAATTAGGTATCTACATAAAAATTGAATCGAATAATGTGCTCTGTTGTATACAGTTAAATTTGCTATGACAATCATAATGGACATAACTGCTTCTACCTGGATAAATTATCATTTGAAATTTACTGTTATAAAATATAATTGCACATTAAAAAAAAATTATTTCTGTGAATTGCACATCTTACTTAAAATCAAAATTGGTTAATAAATTTAAATAAGAATTGATCAATTTAAATTGGGTTACATATCACACCTGGCCAATGGCTTTTATTATTCGATACTTCTTTCTATATCTTAATGCAACAATTTCATAGATTATTATTTTTTAATGCGTCATTGATTTTTACCACCCTATATCGAAAATATATAATTATAAACGTTACTTTGTATTAATATACTGAATGAATGATTATGTTGCGAATTTATGAGTAATGGTCAAATAGTCTTTTTTTTAAAACCCTAAAAATGTTCATATATTTTTTCAACTACAAATTTGTTAAAACTTTTTCGCTCTTTTAAATGGCAGAACGTTATTCTTTTTTCTTTATTTTCATTTTTATATTACCACTAAAACTGTTATACATCAGCTTGCTGATGTTTTTCTCCGTAATATTAAATACAATTTTTCTTTTGAGGATGTCGCCTAATAAATATATTGCGTTTGTCATGGTTTGATCTATATTTTGTTTCACATACTTTATGATATGTATAGTAGCAATTTTTTATGTTGCATAAAATTCACATATAAAATATTAATACATCATGAACGAATTCATCATCGTCGTCTAATGTTTTTAATATTAAACTTTCAGATTTAAACAACTAAATTTCATAAAAATTCCTCACAAATAATTAAATTATGGAAAATACCAATATGTTGAAATAATTTCAATTAATTTTTTTGCTATTAACAATTTCATTATATCAAGTAATAATAACTCACGACTCGGATCTTAAAGTACAAATTTAAAAAAAAAGAAAAATAAGTTCTGCCGAAAAGTTAAAAATTTAGTCACCAAAATCTAAAAATTATTAACTCTCCTTTTATTTTACGAGGATTATTTTCTTATGCTTAATTATAGTTTTAAAAAAAGTATTATATTGTTTAAGTAGTGGGAGTAAAGGTTTGTTTTTTTTTATTGAGAAACTATCTTTTCACCAGATTATTGCTATCCCATCGTTTAAGATTTTCTAATTGTTTTAATACAACAAGCACAGTTTCCATAAGGCAAAGAGTTTGTTTGACTTTTTTATATCAGAAAACTTTTTCACAGCATAATGAAAATCTTCATTCAAGTATGCCTTATACTAAAAATATAAAATGAAAAAATATATAACACAAAATAGAGACAAAAATCATAAAAATAACAAAAAAGGTTAAATCATTACTTTGCAAAAAGAAAGACTACGATACCTGACTCCGATTAAATAAAATTAAAGAATTCGAAGTTTTTTTTAACTGGAATTATAAACATTTCTAAAAAGCATTAAAAGTAAAATTCTTATTTGATTAGTCGGTGTATAAACACTCAAGACTCACTTAAAGAATTTTCGTCTCGGGTGACTATCCAGTCAGAGCAGTATTAGCAAATATTTAGGTATTTATTTTCAAATTATAAAGTGATAAGCCAAAAAGTCATCAAACAGGAAATATCTAAGAGATTTTTCAAAGAGGCAGAATACCTTAGAATGGTTTCGTAAATACATTTACATAGATAATTTGAACTATTAAAAAGTGAAATAAAAATCAATATTTCAAAAGTATAACAAAATTAAATTCAAATTTCTGTACTGAAATCGAACATTTTCTCGAACCACTTTCCTTTTCTATTGTCTAATTAAAAAAACAGGAGCAGTGGTTTTTATTTACAAAACAGAATATACCAACACATCGGTCTTTTTATTTATTTATAAGACGGAGCAATACAAAACACTTACTTGTTTCTAAATTTGATCGAATCAATTATTATTCCACATGAGAGTGTGAAAACAATAAATCACCGAATAGTTTTCGTTAAAACATAACGAAAATAAATTACGATTGCCGCTGGTCTAATTTGAAGCCGATTTACACGCAAAATGATATTTAGGCATTAACCAATACACGCGAAACTAGCAACTGTGGCATTTTGCTCGTTTAAAGACGATAGAAAAAAGAAGCTTTGCAAAACGCTAATAATAACCATTACAAGTGCACAGCATTCATAAACCGGTCTATTCAAAAAAATTGACGGCAAAACAAATCATCAACAATAATAACGACGCGACGCTAGTTCAATCTGCTAATTCAACACTGTATTACTTTTTAAGAAATGCAAATCTTAATTTTTCATTTTGCAAGACAAGATTCTTATTATATGATTCAACGTTGAAGTATTGATGAATAAAATATATATGATCATGAGTCAAATTTTTTACTCGGTTTTTCTTTTTTTTTTTTTTAACGCTTGTAAAATTCCATTAACACTTTATTGAAACTTTTTTCCATTTTAGTAGAATTTAATTAAATTTTTTGGATATAAAAATCCANGGTGTTTTTTTTTTTTTTTTTTATGTCTGTTGCCACTTTTTCTCAGCTCTCACTAGACCAATTTCTTTAAAAAAATTATTTATTTAAGATATATATAAAAGTGTTAGACTTTCCGGAACACTTTCAAAAGTTAAATTGAAAAAGATAATTTTTTGTGAAAAAGTTCTCATTTTAAATCCTTCCCTGTGGACAGGTAAAGAGTCAGATTTATNTTTAGAAAATATATTCTCGTGTATCACTAACGAATAGCCCTGTAAACAAAAAATGGTATTATTTTTATTGAACTGTAAGGGGGGGGTCTCATTTACGATAAAAGAAAAAGATAAAACTTGACGGTTGCAAAATTTATTTTCATTAAAATTGATCTTCTTTTAAACAACAGGTTATGAGGNTTATATTGATATGTTCATTTTTGAAAAAGTTATGGCAGTTTTAAGTAAAAAAAATTGAAAAAATTTCGAAAATTAGCGATTTTAGCTTCGATGCGAAGCTGAGAAAGTATTGGTTTTACAATGATGTTTTTTTTTTGTGTTTGTTGCCACTTTTTCTCAGCTCTCACTGGACCGATTTCTTTCAAAAATACGTCAAAAGATCACAAATCGTATCTAGTTGGAGACATTACCCTTAAAAATTGAAAAAATTTCCCTCGTTCCCCGTAAATGGGGGAAATATGCAAAAATTACAAATTTAAAAATAGCTAATTTTCGAAATTTTTTCACATTTTCTTAAAACTTCCATAACTTTTTGAAAAATCAACAAATTAAAATAATTTTTTTTTATACTAAAACCTTAGATATTTCCCTTTCATTTTATATTATTTTTTTGAAAATCTAACACTTATTCTGCTAACTGGGGGGGATTTAAAATAGCAATTTTTTTACAAAAACCAACTTTTTCAACTTAATTTTTGAAAATGTTCCGGAAATACTGCGTCCTTTAAACATATATCAAATTAAAGCTTTTTTTATGTACTACAAGATGAAAAAAAAAATTTGTCCCGACGACCTATCTTCTATACGCAAATGGCTACCGTATTCAAAAATATGCTATTCTAACAAATTTTTTTTTTTTTAATTAAACACTATCTACAGATTTGCATCGAAGCGTTTTTTATGATAGTGATTTTAATCACTATCAGATATCATCTAAACTGGACCCAACTATGCCACGACCCTACTGTGCCGCCACCTCACTGTGCTGGGTTTTTTTTTAACGCTTGTAAAATTCCATTAACACTTTATGGAAACTTTTTTCCATTTTAGTGGAATTTAATTAAATTTTTTGGATATAAAAATCCAAAAAAGTTATAATGTTTATTATAAAAAATACTTACTGTGACCAACGGTTACGACTTGACAGTAATCATTTTTAGAAAATATATTCTCGTGTATCACTAACGAATAGCCCTGTAAACAAAAAATGGTATTATTTTTATTGAACTGTAAGGGGGTCTCATTTACGATAAAAGAAAAAGATAAAACTTGACGGTTGCAAAACTTATTTTCATTAAAATTGATCTTCTTTTAAACAACAAGTTATGAGAAAAATCATGTGGTTCAAAATGAGACTAAATTATATTCTTTTTTTTTTAGTGTTCAAAGGTAATCCTATTTTATGTATATGTAAACCGTCTTTCTAAATTTCAGTATACACTACTTTTTAAATAATATTGTATTGAATAATGCACGTATCTAAAATAAATAAATTTACATGATATAGTCTTCTAAATCTTTTAGAATTTACTTGTGTGTGCATTGTATCATGTACATACTACAACATTTTTTAGAGCCTTTTTTTTTTTTAGTTTAAACATACACAGTAATTTTTTAATTATAACTCACGCAAAAAATAAAATAAAACATAGTATAATTTTTTTCTTTCAGAAGTTAATAGTATACTACGCTCTAAATTTCCTGTAAAAATTTAATCCTATCTCTTTTTTCTCTCTTAAAGTTTTATCAACTGTAGTTTATTATATGACAACGTGCGTTTAACCAACTTACAAACTAGAAAATGATTTATCTATCTAAAAAAATTACTAGTCGATAACAACTTTTGGACTAGTATTTTTTAAGATATTAGCACTTTTATACAAGGACGAGAAGAGTAGTGCGATTAAACACCTATAGGTACAAATAAAAAGTTCCACATTTAATATACAGTTATTAAAGTATTGTGATAATAACTTCCAAAATCTAAAATTATTAACGGCTGATAATTTTCTCAGTTCTATAATTTCCTTATTTTTACATGTTTCAATTTTAAAAACTTCAGTAGACACTACATTAAAGGGGACAGAAGAAGGATAGGACAAAATTGTTTTATTTAAATTATAGGTCATAAGATCTGTTAACTTCTGGAAAGAAAAAAATTAGAATATGTTTTATACGTTTAGAGTTATTGCATAAATAATAATTAATCAATCGCCCTGAATATACATTTTTTTAAGTGGATTATTTAAAAAAACAGTATTTTCGATTATTTTATTTATATATCTAAATTTAAATTGTATTCTATTTTAGTTCTACTTGTTGCTTTTGTATTGAGGACGCAAAGTTCTTTAATAGTAACATTAATTTTTTAGAAATGTATACGAAAAAAAAACAAGAAGAAATTCCAGATGTTCTCGCTGTTACAAAGTTAAATAAAAACAAAGAAAAAAAAATACTGAATGGATAACAAATAATAAAGATTGCACCCACAACAAAACAACAATTTTTAATGAACTATTGTAAATGTACTAATAAATGGAAGTGTAATAATTATTATGATTAGAAATAAAATAACAATCGCTAAATTTATATTTAATACTAAGTATTAGTATTTTAAAATATCAACATTGTTACAACGAGGCGGTGGAGTAATGCGATTTATGGAATGCCTAGAGAACAAAAAATAAACGGCACTTCACCTCCAGTTTTTATATTAAAGAGTTAAAACTCCAATATTTTTAAAAGTTGCTATTGACCAGGCATTTTCTTAGATAGATAATTTTCTATTTTGTTAGCTGGTTGAACATGTATTTTTCCATTTTAAAAACTATAGTTAATAAAATTGTTAGGGTCAGAAAGGGGTATAGGAACTACATTTTTTTGGAAGTTATAAAACGTGAGATTTTATTGACTTCCAAAAAGTAATATTATATATTATCATTTTAAAGATATTACATGACTCATAGTTAAAAAAATCACTTAGTAGATATTCCTAGTAAATATTCCACGATGTAGTAACATTCATCACGATATCAGATTAAAAATTACATTTTTTTCTACCCTTTATTTTCGCAATGCATTCTAAAACAACCCGGGGAACTTAAGTATAAGGATACTTCGGGTACATATATTTTTGTACTCTAAGTGAATAATAATAGCCTATGACAAAATGATTCTCGATATTTAACTGATACAAAACACGTATGACAAAAACAAAATGTGAAAATGTTAAGCAGCCAAAAAAAAGTAGTTATTCGAAACCCTACAATTTTCACTACTGTTACTATGATCAAACTCGTTTATTAATCAATCGATTTTTCTTATAGAGTTTATAATAAATCCACTTTATTGTTTCCTTTAAAATTCTTGTATTTTTGTTGTTCTTAAAAAATGAGTTTGATTCTTATACATTACGCGAAGGTCGTTTTTGAAAGATTCGCATTTATTATTTTTTCGCGTTAGTAATTATTATGACTTCGACAATTTGTAACTTGTAAGTATTCTTTTATACTCGGTACATATAGAGTAAGATTGAAAGTAACACCATTATTGGTAATATTATTCTTCAAAATAAATAACTTCATTTATGTAAAACACAATAAAAACGTGCAATTTTTGAATCAATTTACCGGTAGCTATAAAAAAAATAACCTTTTATACTATAAACACCAATAAAATCTGATATTCTTATAATCACTTGTCCATAACTACACATGAGCAAATGGCGATAATGAGGGTTTTTTGTATCACGATTGCCGTTTGGCAATAAAGAACTTTTTACACAGTAATTCCAATACGTCGAATACTCTCGCCAGTTACAGAACATGTCCAATTTTGAAAAAATACAGGGAAAGTTTTTTTTTTT